CCCCCCCCCAAAAAAAAAAAATTCAATTGACAGGGATGTAGCTCAGTGCTTGCCCCTGTTTTGACCCCAAGCACCATACACACACACAAAGTAATATTCCCCCACCAAAGATCATCATAACAAAATATCCCATTTATGGATATTTTTGAACCCTTTCCTAAGGCAATGCTTGCACAAATGACACTAACCATGTCTTCCTGGGCAGCAGGAGCCACAGATCCCATGTTGAGCACAGATACAGGAACAGGAACGTGAACAGAAGAGGACGATGTAGCTGCAGTGGAAGTCATGGAAGTAGCGGAGGGGAGCACTGAGGAGCTGGCCAAGCCTCCTGCTGCTGAGGGAGGAGCTTGCAGCTGAACTGCTGAGGACATGGCAGCAGCCGTGGACACATCTGAATGCACCGAGCGCTCTCTGCTCTGAACACTAGGCACTCCCTCTTCCTTGCTGTTTGCGAATTCCAGTCCTAAGAAGTGGAAATTCATTCCATTACCAGTGTCCTGAGGTAAGATTACTATTCTCCATTAGAAATAATTATATAATGTCTATAATCTAGACCTACAAAACGTACATATTTGCCATGTATTTCTATCAACTGTTCAATTAGTAGTTATTAATTGGTTAATACTAGTCTTAATCACTAAAGACTTTGGGCCATTCCTTCATCAGGTGAACGATAATGGGTGATTTGCTCTTACATAAAATTAAGTGTATTGCCATAAAGTAACTATTACTATAGAAATACAGGTAATCACACAGAATTTAAGGATTATGTGCTTTTACATTTCATACAACTAACATGGTAAATGGCCTGGGATTTCTAGCTTTACAACTATTTTCTGTCATCTTCATTTCCATCTACTGCTCCTATCCTAACAAAAATAAGTTTAATTCTTGACTTTCAGCAAGTAGGAAATCAATAAGTAAAACTAAAATCTTCAAGGCATGGGTTCCTGCAGGTTGATTATACAATCTATTAATAATGATTAGCTGTCTGGAGAGATACCATAGGGACTGTTTTTTTCTCTCTCTCCCCTTCCCTCCCTCCAGCTCCCTCCAGCTCCATCCATCCCTCCAGCTCCATCCATCCCTCCAGCTCCATCCATCCCTCCAGCTCCATCCATCCCTCCAGCTCCATCCATCCATCCATCCATCCATCCATCCATCCTGGGGCTTGAACTTGGTAAGTAGGTATTCTATCACTTGAGCTAAGCATCCAGTCTAACTTTGGAGTACTTTCCCTTCAGAGTAAGAGTCTGGTTACTTTCTACTTAACACTATTTCTGTGACATCAATCAACAGGGTAAAGGTTTGAAAATTCAATGAGATATTTCTGAATACTCAATCTAGAACATTATGTAGGCTCTATGTTTAAATATTTCTCTACATTGTTTCTCTTTCCCAGTCAAAATTTTGAGCTTTGATCTAAATCTTAAACTGCCAGTATATACACTAGAATGTTTATGCTTATTAAAAAGTTTTAACAGTGGTTATAGTGCTTAACCTCCACTGATGAAATCTTAACATGCTTTTGATGAACAGTGACGCTGAGCATCTCTAAGGTGGGGACACCAGGAGTTTAAATCAGTACAAAGGACAAGTCTGGACAGGCACATGACCAGATCTTGCCATTGTGGCAGATTTATAAGTTTTTTAAAATCAGATAACTCTTAAGTTTAATCACTATTCTAGCTTTTTTCAGCTGTAAAGTGTTTTATCTACCTTGCATAAAATTGTTTTAACAATTGTCAGAAATCATTTTAAAGCCATTTTTATTGTCATTTTCTACCCTTATTTACACTCTATAGATTTAGGAGAATGAGGATGTAGGTGAGTGGTAGAGTGCTGGTCTAGAATGAATAAGGCCTGGATTTGATCACTAGCATGTCAGAAGGAATAGAAAAACTAGGATGACTACATAACACAAGGTTCACTGCAGATCACAGTCTGCAGAGAAGCCAGCATGCGTGTGCTGCACACACACAAAATCAAACATTTATTTTAATCTAATAAGACAAATGCATTAGAGGAACCTGGCATTATTAAAAAGAGCAGAATAAGGGGAAACTGGGGGAAAGTAAAGGAAGGTGTGACATTGTTCAAAATAAAATGTACTCATTACCTGTCTTATGAAATGGTAAACTCTCTGTATACCTCAATAATAATAATAAAATGATATATATATATTTTTTGGGTCCGGTCGTGGGGCCTGAACTCTGGGCCTGGGTGCTGTCCCTTAGCTCTTCAGCTCAAGGCTAGCGCTCTACCACTTGACCCACAGTGCCACTTCTGGCTTTTTCTTCTTTTTGCTTATGTGGTGCTGAGGAATCGAACCCAAGGCCTCATGCCTGCAAGGCAATGCTCTACCACTGAGCCACCTTCCCAGCCCCATAAAATGATATTTTAAAAGAAGTACAGGTGATGGCTCACACCTGTAATACTAACTACTTACAAGGCTGAGATCTTAGGACAGAAGTTCAAAGCCAGTCTGGCAGAAAAGTATGTGAGACTCTGATCTCGTATTAACCAACCCTCAACACTGCCCAGTAAAAAAAGAAAAAATAAAAGGCTGGAAGTGGAGTTGCAGCTCAAGTGGTAGAGTGTTAACCTAGAGCTAAAAGAAGAAAAAGCTCAGGGACAGTACCTAGGCCCTGGGTTGAAGCCCCAGGACAGGTAGGCACAGGCACAGGTACAGGCACAGGCCCGTGCACGCGCGCACACACACACACACACACCTGTTGAATATTGAACTATTTTTATAAAAATAGTTCAATATTTTAATGTCAGAAAAGATTAGAAGCAACTTTTTTTCTTAAAAGTTGAAAAAGTTAAAAAATATCTGATAGCAAGATGTGATTAAAACCTAAATATCTGGGCTAGGAAGGTGGCTCAGTGACAGAGTGTTTGCCTTGCATATATGAGGCCCTGTGTTCGATTCCTCAGCACCACATAAACAAAAGCATGTGAGGCAAGCACTCTATCACTGAGCCATCTTCCCAGCCCCTAAATTTAAATTTTTAAGATGATAAATGTATTAAAGTGATAAACACACTGTTCCTATGTAAACACATAGGCTTCTTAAGTTTTTTTTTTACTTGTGTACTTATGACGTAACAGATGCAACTACAAATGATATAATTCTCATGATACATTTAAAGGTGGATATAATACCCTTGAATTAAAAATAAAGTTCTGATAAGACACATCACTGCAGAATAGTAAGTAGTACTATAGACCTACTCATCAATTGAAATCAAATTCTTTTTTGAAAATAGTCTTCCATGAATTACTAACCTGTATCATTTTTGTTTTGAAACATAGTCATGGCTTCGAGATTTAATGCACAAACCCCTCTCATAAAAGCTTTCTTCATGGAATCTTCAAAGTGCTCTTTTTCTTGCTGCAATTTCTGAATATCAGCTTTTGAATTTTCCAAAGCTCCAGATAACTAAAATCAGAAGAAATAAATAGATATACTCACATATTTGAGACATAAAGAATATTACTGTTAAAAATTATATATTGTGAGGTTATTCTTATATGAAATGAAAGAACAATTCTTGCCAACTACATTTCATGCTATGTGACTCATTGTACAAGTTAGGTCTCCAACCAATCATTTTCTTTTTCTTTTTTGTGGATCATGGGGCTTGAACTCAGGGCCTGGGCACTGTCCTTGAGCTCTTTTGCTCAAGGCTAGTGCTCTACCATTTTGAGCCACAGTGCCACTTTCCAATCATTTTCATTCCCACAAAATCAAGATTCACATAAGTGGAATTTCATAGCACTCCCATTGAGGACTGCAATTGTGTTTTCATTACACAAAATACATATCATTTTTTATTCAAAAGCTTTCATGTACTTTTGCATAAGCTATGGACAGCCCTTATCCCTTCAGGGTAAAAATAATTAAATGCCTATAATATGAATAGAATTAGAAAAAAACAACTATTTACAGAAGCCTAAAGAGACTGTATTTTTTCATGCCACTTTCCATTATAGAAAACTATTTGTATTATGAAATTTACTTTTAATATTAAGAATTTAGTGCTGCAGTGAACATTTTCTTTTAACATTTGATTGCATTCTTTAGAATGGTTTTTATATCATTTTGAGTCCCAAATGCTTTTCCAAGGAAACAATACTAATTTTACTATTAAAAGTCAAAGGAGTGCCGGGTGCCAGTGGCTCACACCTGTAATCCTAGCTACTCAGGAGGCTGAGATCTGAGGATCATGGTTCAAAGCCAGCCCAGGCAGGAAAGACAGTGAGACTCCAATTAATCACCAAAAAACTGGAAGTGGTGCTGTGGTTCAAGTGGTAGAGTGCTAGCCTTGAGCTGAAGAGCTGAGGGGGAGTACCCAGACCCAGAGTTCAAGCCCCACAACCCACAAAAAAAAAAGTCAAAGGAAGGTTGGGTACTGGTGGCTCATGCCTGTAATTCTAGTTACTCAGGAGGCTGAGATCAGAACTGGGCAAAAAAGTCTGTAAGATTCTTATCTCCAATAAACTACTCAGAAAAGGCCAGAAATGGCTCTGTGGTTCAAGTGGTGGAACACTAGCCTTGAGCAAAAAAACTCAAGTATAGTGCCTGGGCCCTGAGTTCAAGACCCAGGACTGGCACAAAAGAAAAAGTCAAAGGGAAATAATTTCAACTTATATTTTATTAAACTTAAGAACATAGTTTATTAAATATGATAAACATTTTTATTTTGAATTTTTCTTCTTAGGTACATAAAGACTAAAAAATAAGAAGGCTAATGATAAACCGATAGTGGCTATGATGCTCTTGTTTTGAAAGAAAGGGACAATTTAAAAAAAAGTTTACCATAGCAATCTTGTTTTCATAATCATGTGAAATCTGGATGCAAACTTCTTCGGCTCTTGCCTGACAAGCTCGTTCTACCATCTCCTTCCACTGCCTCTGTACTACGGAGTGCCAGCCTTTCCAGACTTTCTTCAGCAAGGTTCGATGGAAGTACTGATCTGCTAGTTTGCCTTCATAAATCTAAAAAACAGGAGTACAGCGGTAATGGCAAATACATTAGTTAATACATTTACTGGCACAGTTACACTGGCAAATGTGTTAATACAGTAAACATAGCACAGAGGGAGTGTATTTAAGTTATTGTTTAATCTGTGCAATCATATCACTCTTGACTTGCCCATGGAAAAACAGGTTAAGTGACTTGGGTCACACAGTAGAAAGGAAAAACCAGTTTGATTTCACAGCCTGGGCTCCTACTCATTACATCATGGCTTACCAGAGTCAATCAAGTTAGGGAAAACACCAAAATCCAAACCAAAACCCAATGGAAGAAAGGACTTTTTAGTTAAAAGAATGCTGGAAGGCATAAAGGCCGTGGCTTCAGATGACTGTTTTCCTTTCAACTTAAATGCCACCATCATAAACAAGGTTAGTAACTCTTACACTTTTCTATTACATAGTACCAAACTGACCCAAATAAGGAACATATATCATTTATCAGAGAATTCTTGTGAAATAGCTCTAATTCCCACTTTTCCTAAAAACTAGCTCAAAAGTCATGTTTTCGCAAGTATTCTAGCCAACATTTTTTTTTTAATTTTGCCAATACTGGGACTTGGTACAGGTATAGGTCCCTGTACCACTTGAACCATTATTCTAGCTAATATTTAAACTAAATATTTACTCATTATGGACTATCTAACAAATAACTTTGAAACTATGGAAAAACCAGCCAAGAACTGGTGGCTTAAATGTCTACTCCTAGGACTCACGAGGTTGACATCTGAGGTACAAAGCTGGTATAGACAGACAAGTACATCTCCAATTAACCAGCAAAAAAGATGGGTTGGAGGTGTGGTTAAAACAGTATCATGCCAGCTCTGATTGAAAAACTGAGGGAGAGTGCAAAGCTCTGAGTTCAAGCCCTATAACTAGCAAAAAGGTACAACGATTTTAGGGATTAATATGGAATTTGATTTATTGCAGTTAATAAAAATGAAAACACTGGGAAACACTTTTTTTTTGTTGGTCATGGGGCTTGAACTCTGGGCCTGGGCGCTGTCCCTCAGCTCTTCAGCTCAAGGCTAGCGCTCTACCACTTGAGCTACAGCGCCAATTCCAGTTTTCTGTGGTTTTATTGGAGATAAGAGTTTCATGGACTTTCTTGCCCGGGCTGGCTTTGAACCATGATCCTCAGATCTCAGCCTCCTGAGTAGCTAGGATTACAGGTGTGAGCCACCGGCACCCGGCTTTTTTTTTCCTAACCAGTTGAGGGTCTAAACATTGTCCCTGAACTTTACTTATAGCTAGTGCTCTACCACCTGAGACACAGATTCACTTCTAGCTCTTTGGTTGTTTATTGGAGATGAGAGCTTCATAAGCTTTCCTTCCCAGGCTGGCTTCCAACGTAGAGCCTCACATTGCAGCTGCCTGAGGAGCTAGGATTACAGGTGTGAGCCACCAACACACAGCAGGAAGCATTATTAAAAACAATTCTATGTGTTTGTGGCTTTAACTAAGTATCACTATCCCACAATATTGTGAAATTTGTGAAATTTATGTAATCAATCACAATAAAAATTGCTAAAAAATAAAACAAAGGAGTCTTGAAAAAACACCAAACAAAAACAATTTTAGGATAATAATAGTATTTAAACTAAACTATTAATGCAGAGGTACCTCTCTAGGGCTCAGTTGAATACGAAAAACTAACACATCCCTTATAGCATGGGTTTCTATATTTTATCTTCTATGGCATATACATAATTTCATCTTTTTTTTTTTTTGGGTCTAGTCGTGGGCCTGAACTCTGGGCCTGGGTGCTGTCCCTCAGCTCTTCAGCTCAAGGCTAGCGCTCTACCACTTGAGCCACAGTGCCACTTCCGGCTTTTTTTTTCTGCTTATGTGGTGCTGAGGAAGCGAACCTAGGGCCTCACGCATGCAAGGCAAGCGCTCTACCACTGAGACACCTTCCCAGCCCATAATCTCATCTTTTATGTTTTAAATTTACCATATTTATACAGAATCAAGTGGATAAAGATTAGATTCACATTAGGAAAAATCACTACACAATGTCTGGGAAGTAAACAAGACAGCCTTTTAAAGATTCCTATCTTCAAGGGGATGGGAAGGAAGGTGGCTCAGTGGTAGAGCGCTTGCCTTGCATGCATGAGACCCTGGGTTCAATTTCTCAGTAACACATAAGCAGAAAAAGCGGGGAAATGGCGCTGTGGCTCAAGTGGTAGAAAGCTAGCCTGGAGCTGAAGAGCTGATGGACAGCGCCCAGGCCCAGAGTTTAGGCCCCATAGCCAGCAAAAAAAAAAGTAAATGCATAAGTTTACTGGCCTCAAGACCAAGAAATATACACCTACAAGCCTGAGGCTGAAATGGTCCAATATCCAAGACCCAATACTTTACTTACCAGTTTTTTAAACTGAATTATTATTATTGGTCTTTAATTGTTTGGTACTAGGGATCGAACCCAGGATATTGCACTTGCTAGGCAAGTGCTCTGCCACTGAGCTACATCCTAGCCCTACTTACCATTTTTGATACACTAATTTTTTCTTTTCTTTTTTTCTCTCTCTGTTATTTTTGAAGCTAAGTCTTGCTATATGGCCCAGGCTGACTCTGAATTCACAAGCCTTCTGCCTCAGCCTTCCAAGTGCTGGGTAACAGGTGTGCCTGACACCTCAATGTTTATTTAATGAAAATACAGGATGCCTGACACCTCAAAGTTTATTATTCTCTCAGTTTACCATTATTCTGATATCTTTATTTAGCTCTTATTTAATGAAAATATAGGATGTTTGGGTTTAAACTTTTTTTTTTTGAGATAGAGTCTTGTTACGTTTCCTAGGCTGGCTACAAACTCCTGGGCTCAAGAAATCCTCCTGTCTCAGCCTTCTGAGTAAGTGGAACTATTGGGAAGGTGCTACTACATCTGGTCAGAAATTTTAGAAACAGAATACAGGAAGCATATGATACATTTAACATTATAAATTCATTTTCCATGTAAGCATGTCTGAAGTCCAGTCTGTTTAAAGAGGTTCAATTATCTATTATTTTAGCATTTATAAGTTAACACAATCTTTATTAAACCACTCTAAAGCAGCAAGTAGCATATGATAATATATAACATATAAGAATATGAACTATACTTATGATACTGTATGTCTATAAATCAGAGAGATATTTTCTCAATTATATTAAAATAAATACAGTGGGGGAGTGGAGGGAGGATGGGATGGGAAGGGGAAACGAAGGAGGAGGCTACAATGCTTGATAAGAAATGTACTCATTATCTTGCCTATGTAATTGTAACCCCTCTGTACAGTATTTTTACAATAAAAAAGTACAAGCAATAATAAGTCATAAGCACATTTTGACTTGTTAGAAAATGAATCTTTCTTTGACAAGAGTTAAGCTCCCTTTGAGCTTAGGTGCTTGATTTCCATTACTGGCCTTATCTTATTCACTTACGTCCTGTCTGCATTTGACATGGCTAATTCGCCAGTGGAAGAATGTCCTCATCAACTCTATCCTTTCCTTTTGCTTGGCTAAGGCATGAGACAAGCTGGCAATCACCTGCAAAGACCAAGTAACACAATTATTGTGATAGTGCAATAATAGCAGTTTTCCACATGAAAAAAAGCTAAAGAGAATAGCTATGGATCTCTACTATATTCATACAAATTAGCCTTATCATTTTTCTTGTATAGTTTTTTTTGTAGTTCACATTGGTATAACAAGCCTTATTACTGTTATTAATGCAAAAATCTGTAATTGGGGGCATGGCTTACGTAGTAGAATGCCAGTCATAAGTAAAAAAGCTGAGCAAGAGCCATGAGGCCCTAGATTCAAGACCTAGTATTTGGCACAAAAATCCAAACAAAAAAATTAAAAATGTTTCCCATGTGAATATAGTAAAACTTCAATAAAGAGAAACAAGAGGGAAATGAAATATTCATTGTGCATGTATATTGCTAATTACCAATAAAGTTTATGTCTTTGAGAATTAATAATTAACATAATTCATTAAAAATTGTACATATATAGTATATAACTGTTATATATACAGAAGGCATTCAGTAGACTTGTAAGCAGGCCAGGTTCTAATTCTTTTTAGCCCCAACCACTACCTTGGATATGGAAGTTTCTCAGTCGCAATTTAATGATTTTCTCGTCCCAACAAAATTATGAAAGCCAAGAACAGATATATTTTGATGTTTATCTTCCACAGTAATATTCTTTTATAAAAGACATATCTTATAAAACATATATTTTATAAAAATATAAGATAGACATTTCAAAGATAGATACAAGATAGATACCTATGTCTTATAAAATACGTATCTAAAAATGGTTACACTAGATAAAAAGGTAGCCTGCCAGACAACAATGGCTCATGTATGTAATCTTAGCCACTCAGGAGGCTGAGATATAAAGATCAAGTTTCAAAGTCAGCCTAGTAGAAAAGTCCATGAGACTCCACCTCTGGACTAAGCTGGTTGCAAGTGGCTCAAACCTGTCATTCTAGGTATGTAGGAGGCTTAGATCTGAGGATCATGGTTCAAAGCGATGGATAGGGAAGTATATGAGATTCTTATCTCTAATTAACCACCAAAAAACTGGAAGTAGAGTTGTAGTTTAAGCAGCAGAGTATCAGCCTTGAGTGAAAAAGATAAGGGATAACACCCAAGCCCTCAGTTCAAACCCCCATATCAGTACCAATAGGGAAAAACACCAAACAAAGGTGTTTGCCAGCTGCTGGTTTGAGACAGGGTCTTGCCATGAGTACCAGGCTGGCCTGGAACTCATGATCCTTCTACCTCTGCCTCTGGAATTCTGGGATTACAGGCATGTGCCCACTACATCCATCCCTATCCTTTTTTTAGAAGAGTAAAGGGTACCCATTCTCAGATATCAACTAGATTCTATGTTGTAGGTTGCGTGGTGACAGATGGCTGTTATTTTATTCTTTATTCACTTTCATGAACTGAAGTAATGATCTATGTACTTTCTGTGATACTAAAAAATTTAAAAACCTTAGAACAGAGTTTTGAAAGTAAGAGAAAATATTAGTATTCACTGTTTAAAAAATGCAAAGTATGTAAAATGTTCAACTTATATTATACCCTCTAAAAGCAAAAGAGTCTACCATCTTCATGTAGCTCATTAGCACACCTGATACCACTTCTGCAGGCAATAGCTGTAGGGTCTGCCTGAGTCCCTGTTCTCTGCAAGCCATCACCCTTTTACTTATAACCCATAAATGGCTGAAGGCACAGCCGGGCACAGACCTGAACTTGACCCTCAAGTTAGAAGCTCACAGAAAGTGAAATGAAAGATGTCTTCTATATTTATCTTCATCAATGAAAAGACATATCACAGACAGGATGTGAGAAGTTTAAAATATCCATCCAGGGGGCTGGGAAGGTGGCTCAGTGGTAGAGCGCTTGCCTTGCATGCATGAGGCCCTGGGTTCGATTCCTCAGCACCACAGAAGCAAAAAGAAAAAAAGCCAGAAGTGACGCTGTGGCTCAAGTGGTAGAGTGCTAGCCTTGAGCTGAAGAGCTGAGGGACAGCGCCCATGCCCAGGGAGGGTTTAAAAGTGGAGAGTGTGGTTTCTTAGTGTTTTATTAAGGAGGTTAGGATAAAAAGATTAGGAGGAAAAATCAAGTCTTACATTTAGGAGAGACTCTTAAAACACTAAGCACTCTATAACCAGAAGTGAAGATAAAATGACCCAATACTGGCATGTCTGATGAGAAGAACCAATCCTATGGCTGTGTACTGATTTTACTCTCAGTTTCTCAGTGACTTGCTCTTCATCTCTCTTTCTCTCTCTTTTTGTCGGTCATGGGGCCTGAACTCTGGGCCTAGGTACTGTCCCTCAGCTCTTCAGCTCAAGGCTAGTGCTCTACTACTTGAGCCACAGTGCCACTTCTGGCCTTTTCTGCTTATGTGGTGCTGAGGAATCGAACCCAGGACCTCATGCATGTGAGGCAAGCACTCTATCACTCAGCCACCTTCCCAGCCCACTCTTCATCTCTTGTGTAAGCTAAATAATCATTAGTTTTTGGAATGCATTTTCTAGCAAGGTATTTTCTAAACATCAACAAAAAGGAGATATAATAAAACAGAAGACCTCATCTTTTCTCCCAATGGAAACCTCAAAGGCTCTCTGCAGCTCCTTTAATTCAGTGATCTGGCTGAACAGCTGCTTTACATGTGCTGTGTGCTTTTCTTTCTCTTTCTTCATCTCCATTCGGTGCCAGTCTATAAAATTAAGTCTCCACTTACTGAGTTCAGAGATAATGTTTGTCTGAAAGAGAAATACATTGACACTTAAGTTTGTTCCTTGATACCTCTTCTTAAACCTGAACTGAAGAAAAGATGATGTATGCAATGCACCATTCTCTTCACAGTTCACCACAGGAAGGACATTTGTTATTAAAAAAAAAAACAAACAAAAAACCCCCAAAAAACCAGCACTGAGATTTTTGAGAAGTCTCAAAAAGTGTAAATGCATGTTTCAACACCAAATTTAAATTACTTGACGACTCAAAAAGCTTATTAAAATTTTATTTATTATTTTAGGAATCTATCTACTCCCTATCCCTTAGACTGCTTATCCATGCACCCTCTGAAATAAAACTCTCGTTAACTTGTGGCTGTTTAAAACATTTAACTGCATTTGCTGCATTTCTATCCATTAGAGTTATCTAAGGAGTCTTTTTGTACATTTACCAAGCTTGAAATCTGGGCTTGAAAATGTAATAGTACAGCAAGGTAAATGAACAAATGTACATAATAAAACAAAAACAAAACAAAATATTTAGACTTCCTTAGGGAAATCCCTTTGTTTGTTCAAGGACTTGACAGTCCAAATTAAGATAGGACAGGTGAAAAAGACAGGAGGATCAGGCCTGGCTGAGCATCATAACTGGGCGTTTGTCCTGATAAAGGTTGTTGTGCTTGTGGAAACCATGGAACCTGGAGCCTTCTTCCCCCAACACCTACCACAATAGCCACCTTATGACAGATTGCTCTTTTCACCCTTATCACTGGAACACATAAAATATAACATATACATATATAAAAACATATTTGTTAGATATACGTACATATATATATATATGTATACAAAATCCCTAAAACAAATATGGTTAACTGAACTAAGAGACAAATTTGAACGTCTCATAGAAGTATGAAATGTAGCTAGGAGGTGGGGGCTCACATCTGTAGTTCTAGCGACTCAGGAGGCTGAGATCCAGGAATCATGGTTTGAAACTAGCCTAGGGCAGGAAAGCCTATGTGAGTCTTATTTCTAATTAACCAGCAAAAAGCCAGTAGTGGAATTATATGGTTCAAGTGGTACAATAACAAAAGTTAAGAGGTAGTGCCCAGGCCAAATATCAGTGTGTTCAAAGCTAGTGTTCTAACATTTGAGCCACAATACCACTTCAGGCTTTTCTGAGTAGTTTATAGGAGATGAGAATCTCAGGGACTTTTCGGCATGGGTGTTGAACCGTGATCCTCAGATTTCAGCCTCTTGAGTAGCTAGAATTACAGGTATGAGTAGTCTTGAACTCCTGGACTCAAGTGAACCTTAATATAAAGGATCCTTGGAATGACCTATTGATATGAAGCTATAATTTAATATGAACCAAGATGATTCCTATGTACATTAAAGAATGAGAAGTGCCAGATGCTGGTGGCTTATACCTGTAATCCTAGCTACTCAAGAGTCATTAGGATTACAGGCATAAGCCAACAGTGCCCAGCTGGCTTTTTTTTTGCTGGTCCTGGGGCCTGAACTCTGGGTCTGCGCACTGTCCCTCAGCTCTTCAGCTCAAGGCTAGCGCTCTACCACTTGAGCCACAGCGCCACTTCCACCAGATGACTTTTTTGATGGTTAATTGGAGATAAGAGGCAGCCTTAGGAGGCTGAGATTTGAGGATCGTGGTTCAAAGCCAGCCTAGGCAGGAAAGTCCATGGGACTCTTATCTCCAATTAATTATCAGGAAACCGGCAGTGGTATAGTGGCTCAACATAGAAGAGCACAAATCTTGAGCCAAAAAGCTCAAGGACAGTGCCTAGGCCCGGAGTGCAAGCCCCACAACTGACAAGAAAAAAATGAATAAGAAGCACACAGACTGAGATCTGTACTGAGCTCAGGGCAATCATTTTTTTAAAAAAGTATAAGAAACATAATCAGTATAATCAACAATAAAGCTATCACAATGCATAGTAAACAACTGTAAATAAACAAATTCAATTACCTTAAGACCTGAACTCCAAAGATCAAGTACACTCTCTAATTTCTGAAGGTTTTCATCAGAAACAAGATAATCTCCTGAAACTGTTTTGTGGGTTTCTGTGTGAGCAGAATTAGTGTCTGCAGAGGAAGAGTCATCTAAAAGATGGGAACTGAAAAAGTCCATGACTGGGTGAGATTTCCTTGGTGATAATGCTGGTGGTGAGCCTGGAATAAAAGAACACTTGTGTGAGAAAGACAAAAACAGCAAATGGAGCACTCTTTCCCTTGTGTGGAATTGTAGACCTTAAAAATAAAATGACATGAGTGTAAAATGCAGGGGATTATTTTGAGGGAGAGGAGCCAGGGAGAGTAAAAGAATAGGGTAAAAAAATTGATTAAACAGAATAATGAAACCCACTGAAAGTTGTTTAAAAAGTGGGGAGGGGAAGTGGCACTATGGCTCAAGTGGTAGAGCCCTTGCCTTGAGCTGAAGTGCTCAGGGGCAGCGCTCAGGCTCAGAGTTCAAGCCCCATGACCAACCACCACCACCAACAACAACAAAAGGTGGGGAAGGTCCTAGAAATGTGGCTAGAAAGTGGTAGAAAATCTGTCTAGCAAGCTCAAAGTCCTGAGTTCAGTCCCTAGTACTACCAAAAGAAGGTGAGGGAAGGGAAGAAGAGGGGAAGGAGACAGGAGGTGGGGAAAAGGAGGGGAAGGGAAAAAAGAAAAAGTAATAGAAGGGATAATTTTGATCGAAGTACATTATATGCGTATATGAAAATAGCACAATAAATCTCCATTGTACTTTTAACATATGCTAATTTAAAAAAGGAAGGAAGATCAATGCCCAATGCTCTTTACTTGGCTTTTTCTACTCAAGTTTAGTGCTTTACCATGTAAACTACATCTTCACTTCCAGCTTTTTCCAGGTTAATTAAATATTTTTTTTTTTGAAATCCGGTCGTGGGGCCTGAACTCTGGGTGTGGGCGCTGTCCCTCAGCTCTTCAGCTCAAGGCTAGCGCTCTACCACTTGAGCCACAGTGCCACTTCCTGATTTTTTCTTTTTGCTTCTGTGGTGTTGAGGAATCAAACCCAGGGCCTCATGCATACAAGGCAAGTGCTCTACCACTGAGCCACCTTCCCAGCCCTAGAGATAAGATTTGTATGCACTTTTCTGCCCAGGATGGCTTTGAACCTTGATCCTAAGGTCGCAGCCTCCTGAGCAGCTAGGATTACAGAGATGAATGACCAGCAACCAGACTTTATTTTCAATTTCAGTACTGTCACCAATTCAGGACTGACTGGGATGGCTACAACTTTCCACTACCTCTTCTATCCCAACAGATAATGTCTATCTCTACATATCCAAATCTAGCCTGAGCTGTATTATCATACTGACTTAACTTTTTTATATTTTTGCAATAAAAATGTTAAAGAATGAGCTTTTATAATACAAGCTACCTAAGGAGTAGGTATTATAATCTCTGTTTTAATGACAAGAAAACTGAAGCAGAGAGAGGGTTAAAAAATTGACAAAAGCCAGAGTTGTTGTATACAGGTTATTATTGTTTTATGTTTAACACTGGGATGGTGTTAAATAATACAGCTAAGATTGTACAATATAAATAGGGGCTAGTCAATAAATAAGTGTGCTAAAGACTTACAGAGAAACGTCTCTGAAGAGGAAAGTTGGCCAATAAACATATGAAGAAATGCTCAACCTCTCTAGCCATAAAAGAAATGCAAATCAAAACAACACTGAGATACCAACTCAACCCAGTTAGAATGGCTATAATCAAGAACTCTAATAACAACAGATGTTGGAGGGGATGTGGACAGAAGAGAACCTTACTGCATTGATGGTGGGAGTGTAAACTTGTTCAACCATTTGGAAAGCAATATGGAGGTTCCTCAAAAGACTCCACATAGAGCTCCCCTATGACCCAGCAATCCTACTTTTGGGCATTTACCCAAATGATCACAAACAAGACCACACTAAAGCTACCAGCAAAACTATGTTTATTGCAGCATTATTTACCATAGCTAAGATATAGCACCAACCCCAGATGCCCCTCAGTAGATGAATGGATCAAGAAAATGTGGTATATATACACAATGGAATTCTATGCCTCCATCAGAAAGAATGACATTATTCCATTTGTTAGGAAATGGAAAGACTTGGAAAAAATTATATTAAGTGAAGTAACCAGGCCCAAAGAAACATAGGCCCCATGGTTTCCCTTATTTGCAATAACTAGTATATATCTGAGACAAGCAGAAAAGGTCATGTTAGGTGAAAAGGTTGATGTTAGGCGAAATGAACCCCCAAGATATGTATTCAAATGTTTTTTTCTTTCATGTGATTGTTTCTAACAGATTTATAAGAGATTTCTTTGTTGCTTTGTATGTCCCTCCCCCACAGTATAACCCCTGCTTTCACTGTATTTGATGTTGGTATAATTTGTGGAGGGGAAGGGAAAAAACAAATCATTTAAATAGGGATACAGGTGGACCCATTGTAACAATGAGATGTACAAGTCATTATATTGAAAAACGAACTTTACAACTTTGGTGGGGGGAGGATGGGGGCGAGGGGGTGGGGGTGTGGGGAGATAGGTGGGGGGGTGGGGAGATGGGAAGGGATGGGAAGGGGAAACAAAAGGAGGAGGCAACAATGCTCAATAAGAAATGTACTCATTATCTTGCCCATATAATTGTAACTCCTCTGTACAGTATTTTCACAATAAAAAAAAAGTCATAAAAAATAAAAATTGTACTTTACAACTTTCGGCGGGGGTGGGGTTGGGGGTGGGTGGGGAGATAAGTGGGGAGGTGGGGAGGGAAGGGGATAGTGGGAGAACAACAAGGGAAGGGGTAACAAGGTTTGGCAAGAAATGTACTCATTGCCTTACTCATGTAACTGTAACCCCTCTGTAGAGCATCTTTACCTAAAATAAATAAAAAAAAATAGCAGCTAGCCAAGTTATAAAAACAGGCCAGATAGAATGAATGCATCAAGAAAATGTATATAATGCAATGTAATTTTACTCATCCATAAGGAAAAACAGTATTTCATCATTTACAGAAAAATGGATGAACCTGGAAAAAATTACGTTAAGTGAAGTAAGTCAAGGCCACAGAGAGACAAAGGACACATGTTTTTTCTTATATGTGGAAATTAGATCTAATATATAAATATATATGTAAATATACACAGGGTCATATCCATATATACATAAATATATTAATTAGAGCATGGTATATGCAGGTGAGAATTCCAATGGTGTAATTTCTTTGAACAAATAACCTATAGTCTAACAAAAGGAAACCCAGGAAACTGGAATTTAAGGTATTGGGTATAGGGTAGGGGTGAGGTCAAGGAGGGAGGTAGATGGATAAAGAAAGGAAGAATATAGTCATCGTACTCAATGTATGTGAAATGGGACTAGTAAAATTGAGGGGTGGGTAGGGTTGGGAGAGATGGGGGCGGGATGACACTGATTAAGATGCATTGTATAAACAAACTGGTGTAGAACTGAAATCCCTTTGTACAACTACTTACAGGTAAGTAAAGGCTAGCAATTTCATTTATCAAATACTCTGTTGTAACAAACCTGTTAGCCTTCAACATGTTAGGAAATGGAAAGACTTGGAAAAAATTATATTCAAAGAGGTGGGGAACAGTCAAAGCCAGAATGAAAACAAGCCAGACATGTCTAGGTAGGAACATCTGAATTTGGCTCTGCGTTTTTAAAACCGCTTTAACACTGCTAATCTTGTTTCAACTGATACAAGGCAGATCTCAGGTTCAACGTACCACCTACACAATATTTAGATAAAATTAGTGATTTTTTCATTATGTTTACCATTGCTTTATTATTATATTTTCTTTCTTTCTTTCTTTTTTTTTTTTTTGCTAGTCCTGGGGCTTAAACTTGGCACTGTCCCTGAGATTTGCTCAAGGATAGCACTCTACCCAAGTCACAGTGCCATTTCTGGCCATTTTTGCTTATGTGGTACTGAAGAATTGAACCCAGGGCTTCATGCATGCTAGGCAAGCACTTTACCACTAAGCCATATTCCCAGCCCCCTTTCTTATTATAGTAAGTGTATATTCATGTTATGTTATCTTGAAGGAGAACACAGGAGGTAAAAGACATTGCAAAGATCATTACCTCAGTACACACAATGCCCATAAGCTGGCAAGTAGATGGTTTGCAAAAGACTGACATTGGCCAAACTACCTAATAGCCTAAGTCTTTAAAAATACTTGCCTGCTGGTTCAACTTTTAGAGTGTCACATAATTGTACTATCTCGGGAGTTATTTTAAATATTACTAATTAAATTAGAAATAGTATCTTTTTGTTGTTGTTGTTGTTGTCAGTCATGGGCCTGAATTCTGGGCCTGGGTGCTGTCCTTCAGTTCTTCAGCTCAAGCTACCACTCTACCACTCCAGCCATGGTGACACTTCCTGCTTTTTCTGCTTACGTGGTGCTGAAGAATCAAACCCAGGGCCTCATGCATGCAAGGCAAGCACTGAGCCACCTTCCCAGCCAGAAATAGTATCATTTAAAAATCTTGCCAATAAATAATGTGTGGCAGTATTCCTCCTATTACATAGATAATATTGATCAGGCTGAAAGTCATACCGCTTGTCTTTAAACGGCTGGAAATAGGAACATCGTAACCTTTTCCAACTTCTGTTCCAGTTTCTCTTACTGTAGGGCAACTTCCTACCAAAAAGAAAGTTTAAAAAAATTAAACCAAACTACTTGGTAAAAATTAAGTGCGTATTAATGATACAACATAAAAGGTTTCATTATGTGACATTCTTCATTTTTGCATTTAATATACTTTGATCTTCGATCATATAAACACTTTACCCTCTCCCCTATTACCCTCTCTTTCCCTATCTCCCACTTCCTCTGGTTTTATTCTCAAATATTGACCCACTTACTTTTTGTTTTTGCTGGTACTGGGGCTTGAACTCATGTCCTGAGCACTGTCCCTTAACTTTTAGCTCAAGCCTATTACACTCTATTACTTGAGCCATAGCTCCACTTTTTTTGGTGGTTATTTGGAGATGAGTTTCAAGGACCTTCTTGCCCGGGCTGGCTTTGAACCATCAGTCTCAGATCTCAACCTCCTGAGTAGCTAGGATTACAGGTATGAGCCACTAGCACCAGACTCCCATTTAATTTTTTTTTTAACCAAAAATCTAGATTCTATCTATGAAAGAAAACATAGTATGGGCCCAAGTCTGGTTTATTTAACAGGATTGACCTCCAGTTTCAACCATTTTCTCCAAATATGATTCTTGTATTTTTGTGTGTGTGAGAGAGAGTTCAGGGATTTGCTTATTAGTTAGATGTTCTGCCATTTGAGTACTGACTCCAGCCCTTTTTGCTTAGGTTGATTTTTAGATGGGGGCTCCTGTTTCTGTCCAGCGTCAGCCTGCACTATAGCCCTTCTAGCTATGGCTTCTAAGTGTAGCTGGGATCCCAGGTGTGCACCACAATGCCTAGTTTGCTGAGATGGCGATCTCATTAAATTTTTGTCTGGACTGGCGAGGAACCACGACATTCTGACCTCTGCATTCCAAGTATGTGGAATTACAGGTATGAGTCACTATGCTAGACCAATTTATCCTCATGTCTAAAAATTACTCCATTTCTATATATACCACATTAAAAAATCCTTTCATCTGTTGATGGGTATCTACACTGATTCTATAGCTTGGTTATTGTAAGCAGAAGGATACAGAGTGCAGGTATCTCTATTGTATGCTGACTTTGATTTCTTTGGAAATATACTCAGAAGTGGGATGGTGGGATTATATGGTAATTGCAGTTTTCATATTGAGTCTAGTAGAAGTGTAACATACCTTGTATAAAGACTCCTTTTCCCTACATCCTTACTAGCATTTGTCATTTGTATACTATCTGTAAGACTCTTTTCAGTTCCTTAGTGTTGGTCCTGGAGCTTGAATTCAGGGCCTGGAAACTGTCCCTGAGTATTTTTTTTTTTTTT